GTCCAGACAGACTAAACAAACCAGTTTATTTTGTCCTAATAGGGAGGATGTCAAACCCAGTGTTTTACCTTATAAATGTGTAATTTCCAAACACACACACACACACACACACAAGACCCAATGGGGTTCTTTGCTCTTCTGACCCGCCTGGAGTGTGTGTCTGTGTGTTGATTAGAGGGGTGCAAGATTCCTTCTGTGTGAACTTCCTTTCAGGAAGTTTCCTGATTCCTCTCTGTCTCCGACGGTAAGCACCTCAGATCAGCAAGAGCTTGATTAAAAACAGCAACAGCACAAACAGCATCCTGCTCTGTCCTGCACAGTCAATACTAATCTCACACACACACACACAATAATAAGTCAATAAATTACAGTAAAAATATATAAAATAATGAATCATGCTGCATTGTGGGGGTATACCCATAAGCCCCTGCTCTTAAACTTGGATGAGCATTGGGACTTTTAGCTCTAAATAACAACTAATCCTTTTAAAATCTGGCTACTGTCTTGCGATAGAAATGAACTGTGCCGACTCAAGTAACCTTTGTGGTTCTGCTGCATAAAACCATATCTATATCAGCTATATCACAGGAAGTTCCTAAAACTGTATTTACGTGCAGAGCTATTATGGTATAGGGTAGTACTGTAAGCAAGGCAACTATGCCAGTAATTTACAGTAAATGTACAATGAAAGCAGTGAAATGAGTAACTAATGTACAAACTAAACGTCTTGAGAGACTGCAATGGCTAAATATAGCAGCTGGATTTCTGGTGGGAAAAGCAGTCGCTAGTGTGTGTAGTGCTCTCTGTCCCGGTAGACTGTTATTGTTTATGTGGGTGTTTGTCTAGTCTGCTGTGTTGGATCTGAGGAGAGACAAAGTGACTGAAAGGAATATACTTTTAAAATCTAATTGTAATTTATTCCTTTAATGGCAAAGCTAAATTTTCATCATCATTACTCCAGTCTTCCGTGTCACATGATCCTTCAGAAATCATTATGATATTCTGATTTGGTACATAAGAAACATTTCTTATTATTATTACAGTTGAAAACAGTTGTGCTACGTAATAGTTTTGTGGAAACCATGACACATTTTTTTCATATCATTGGAAAGTTCAATAGAACAGCATTTATTTGAAATATACATTTTTGTAACATTATGAATGCATTTACTGTCGCTTTTGATCATCGTCCTTTTTTAAAAAAAAATAATCCTAGAGACCCCAGACTTCTGAATGGTATTGTATATCAAAATGTTGGTTGCCAAGACAATGCTCTTTGGTTGCTGAGGTGTCCGGGTGCTTCCTTACACTTTTGCCCACGTCAAAAGATTATATCCGAGTCTATCATGTTCTCTCCTTCATTGTTTGTTTGTCTAGTCATTTTTCACTCAATTTATCGTCCACCATGCAATATTGAAGGCATAATCACTTAAAAAAAGTAAAAGCAGATCTTCAGCTTAACAACCTGCACAATTTCCCAGTATCATTTAGGTCTGTAGCACAAATAGTGCAGGATGAGTTTAATAATTGGTGTATTATAGGGGTGTAAGAAAAAATCGATACACTTGAGTATCGCGATATTTTATTTTGCAATACTGTATCGATTTTCAAAAACGCAATATCGATTTTTTTTTTAGTTTACGTGCAAAAATATTCATACTATTGCCGTGGTTCGCGTTTATGTTGTGTTTAAATCCCTACTACTAGATGGCTAGAATGAGACGCACCACTAGTGTCCTCGCCTACAGTGTCTATGATTTTGATTAATATGCGCGAGGGAGAGAGAGCAAGACAGCGCGCGTGTTGTTTGAAGACGTGAGAGTGCGTGCGCGCGGCCGGGGCGCTCTCTCTCTCTCTCTCTCTCTCTGCTCGTTTGCGTCCTGTCAAGCGCAGCAGTCTTTCTATTCTACATCACTCACCGATAAAAAAAGGCTTTGGCGGGACACAAATTTGTTTTGGCAGCCGCTAAAAAGCGGACGATTTGACGGGTTTTAAAAGATTAAATACAACCCGAAACTAAAAAACAGACCCCGCCTCTATTTGACTCTGGCCTTTATTTACCCAAACCTGTCGCCACTCGCCACATCAGGCGTGTAAAAGAGACCGGCGTCTATATGGGACTCGCTATTATTTGAAGTTTTACGGTATGTGTTGGATGTACCCTGTATGAATAATAGTGCAAGCATTTTTTTAATGACAGATTGCCCCTCAGATTGCACCTTATGTGTTATGCATTAGCCTAGATGTCACAGTAAGGGGCTATGTATTTTCTTTAACTGACTATTTATATATTTGTTCCTCAATGTTTCCTTTAGGAATTGGGGATATTCAAATTAATTAACCAATCATTAATACCATTGATCAGCCCTACCTAACGTGGATGTTTTTTCCACTAAGAAACAAACATTGTTATGTTATTTTGATTTATACTGTGAAGCTTTGATACAATTGTGAAAAGCGCTATATAAATATACTTGACTTGAATTGTGTTCGTGTTTTTGCAACACAAAACGTGTTGGATGTACCCTGTGTACTAGGAATAGTGCAAGCATTTATTTATTTTTATTGACATAGACAGATGTCTTTTCTTTTTTCAGATTGCACACATGTGTGTATGTTATGTATTGTGACAGGGGCTATGTATTTTCTTTTATTAAGGCCTACTTGAGCATATACAAATTTGCTCACTAAGAACCTGTGAACCACAATCCCAAACTGGCAGTTTGATTTTCTGTGTACTGAATTGTTTATCTAAAGTAAACTTGTTTGAATTTTATGCACATCATGTCTTTTTTTTTTAAATAATACTTTCTAAAATTGTAGTCCTACTTTAAAAAAATCGCAATATATCGCCTTATGCACAGTATCGAAATATATCGCAATATATTGAATCGTGACCCATGTATCGCGATACGTATCGTATCGCCAGATTCTTGCCAATACACAGCCCTAGTGTATTAGAGGTTTGTACAAATCCATAACCCATAGTATGAGTAATAGTAATAGCGATGTGTGCCTTTCCGCTGTCTCATCTCTTTCCTTTAGTTGTGTGTGTGTGTGTGTGTGTGTGTGTGTGTGCGTGTCTCTGATCTCTGGATAAGGTCACTCAGAGGCCAGCAGGGCCACAGATTGAGGCCTCCGGGGCTGGAAATGGACTGTAATTTACTGTAATGATGTGGAGTAGTAAGCAGCGCTGCTTAAGGCTGATGTTAAACAAATAATCTCTCCGACCTGGTGGTCTGAGACACACTTAACACACTCACACAGCTTCATCATAGACATACAGTAGACTATGAATTTCTGCTCAACACAGAGAGAGTGAGAGACAGAGAGTGTTAACAACAGCCTGTATTTGAATGGTCATTGTGGTTATTGATGTTCACACCCAGTACATACCACACCCTCTGATTCTCTGTGTTATTAAAAGACATTGAGTCCCAGACTGAATGATCAGCAGATAATAACTAGCAAAGGGCGGAAACTGAGGTCTTTTGAAGTCTGGTTGGTTAAAATGACTCTCTTTCCCACATGCATTGTGATCTAGCAGATAAAAGTCGAGATTTTATGTTTGCGTTGGTGTGTTTAAGAAGGACACAAAGGTGTGCTCAAGAAAATTCCAATTATGTGTCATGTACTGTAAACATTATCCTTATGAGTTGATTATTTGCCTGTATTTCATAGTAACATATTAGATATTTTTTATTAATCAGAATTGACTAATATTGTATAATCATTTGTACATTTGCATTCGATGGTCATTTCCTCTATTTTTACATTAAGGTGACCGAATGATCATGTAAAGTTAAAGTCAGCATGAAATGAAAATTCACCTTATCTACTTTCTAAATGCATGTTATTGATCTTATTATGAGCTATTCTTTGTGTTTCTATTTTTATTTTACCTTTGTAATTTTTCATCACAATGTATAACTCAATCTCTTACAGTCATCTGTGAGCTCTCATTCAGAAATGACTCCATCCAATCAACAACAGATGAATACAACCAAGTGCTGATAATAATTGATAATCTGTGTCACTAGAATGTATGTCATAATATGGAAGAAATGATCTGTAAATGAATTGCTTATTCCATTTCAATGTGACTTTATAATTTAATCTTTTTATTTATAATAATATAAATGTATAATTTTAACGTTAATAAATTAATAACAAATGTAAATAAAAGTTATTTTTTAGCAAATCTCAAAACGAAAAACAAATTATAGAACATTTTGTCTATCTATTGATATTTAGACAAAATCCTATAGAATTTTAATATCAACCGATTATCAGTTATCTGACATAACATAAAGGTTAAAACAATATATTATATATATTTTTTTGTTTTGTTATTATTTTTTTCTATCAGTTATTTTCTCATCCATATATTTTGAGTAGGGCAATCAACTCATTTGAATCAGGTAAGATTTGAAAACAGAAGAGTGTAGTGGACAGAAGAACAGCATGAAGAAATGAGTAGTATGCAGCATGTGTGTCGCCCAGAACATAAACCACATGTCTATTCCAGTCCTTCATTCTGTGTTTCTGTGTGTATGTCTCCCATCTGCTGATCTATTTAGCAAGACCACCCCATCCCTCCTAAATTAGTCACACTGCCCCCCAGCCCTCACACAAGCGCACACATGCACAATGAGTAGTGAACAACACCCCCTACAGCTGGGCCTTTTGTGCCGTGAGCCCCCTCTCAATCCCTTCAGCCCAGGGGAGGTTTAACACCTGCCCGTAGAGGAGGGGTCAGGGCTGCGATTATGTTTTATGAAAATGGATCTGATAGTGACCAGCTGTATTTGCATCACGGTGTTTAGAAATCCTGCTCTCTTTCTGTTCCTCATAAAAAAACACATGGCTTATATGCAAACATAATGAAAGATATTAATCAGTCGTATTATGAACTTTCAGTGTGTTTCAGCCCATCAAGACACCTCAGTGAAAACTACTTATTCCTATCGTTTCCTTTTTATCTTTGGCATTTATTTCAGGCACAACAGAGAGATGCATTTGTTCAGGAGCGATATGGACAGTATGACCTGCGTGACCCCTTCATAGCGCTGCTGAGGGACCGCGAGCTGTCGCAGGCTCAGGATGATGGAGGGCAGAGTCCCGTGTGTCTGAACCCGCTGGGCGTGTTGAAGCTAGTGATGGCCCACTGCACCAACATGAAGGAGAAAATGATGAAACAGCTAGCCGCTGCAGAGAGGAGACATCGACGGGTGAGAGGCAGAGAGAGTCCTGAGCTACATACCTAGGCTGTATTTTTAGGATCCTAATGTGAAGGCTGTTCCAGCTTAACAACATTGTAGTGCTAAATCAGCTGTAGGCATTAAAACTGTAGTGAGGAATGTCGTTTATGTCACTTCAATAGGTCACTTTGGAAGGTTACACAATTGTTAGGATTCTGGGTTTGAAGGTAGATGCCTATATAGACAACAGACTAGCTCACAACTTCTTGGAACAGAGCTTGAGTGCATGTATTAAAGATGTGTGTATTTAAGGGCTGGCTACTTACAGGACTGGTTCGTTCAGTTCTTTGAAAGTAATTTGATTTATTTCATAAACACTGTATGGAAGATTAATCCAAAATCAAACACAACTATTCTCCCTGTTATGTGCGTTGGGTGAGTCTTATTTAAAGGATCTCTGAATAACAGGGTTTGATACTTTGAAACACAAACCAATCTGGTTAAACATTCTTTATTTTCTCTCTAATATACTTCTTATAAAAACAAGAAATGCATATTGGGTTCACCCAATAATGAAAGTGTATTATTTATTTTGATTTATCAGTTAACTTTTTTCTTTCATACATATATACACTCACCTAAAGGATTATTAGGAACACCTGTTCAATTTCTCATTAATGCAATTATCTAATCAACCAATCACATGGCAGTTGCTTCAATGCATTTAGGGGTGTGGTCCTGGTCAAGACAATCTCCTGAACTCCAAACTGAATGTCAGAATGGGAAAGAAAGGTGATTTAAGCAATTTTGAGCGTGGCATGGTTGTTGGTGCCAGACGGGCCGGTCTGAGTATTTCACAATCTGCTCAGTTACTGGGATTTTCACGCACAACCATTTCTAAGGTTTATAAAGAATGGTGTGAAAAGGGAAAAACATCCAGTATGCGGCAGTCCTGTGGGCGAAAATGCCTTGTTGATGCTAGAGGTCAGAGGAGAATGGGCCGACTGATTCAAGCTGATAGAAGAGCAACTTTGACTGAAATAACCACTCGTTACAACCGAGGTATGCAGCAAAGCATTTGTGAAGCCACAACACGCACAACCTTGAGGCGGATGGGCTACAACAGCAGAAGACCCCACCGGGTACCACTCATCTCCACTACAAATAGGAAAAAGAGGCTACAATTTGCAAGAACTCACCAAAATTGGACAGTTGAAGACTGGAAAAATGTTGCCTGGTCTGATGAGTCTCGATTTCTGTTGAGACATTCAGATGGTAGAGTCAGAATTTGGCCTAAACAGAATGAGAACATGGATCCATCATGCCTTGTTACCACTGTGCAGGCTGGTGGTGGTGGTGTAATGGTATGGGGGATGTGTTCTTGGCACACTTTAGGCCCCTTAGTGCCAATTGGGCATCGTTTAAATGCCCATCCCTTTATGGCCACCATGTACCCATCCTCTGATGGCTACTTCCAGCAGGATAATGCACCATGTCACAAAGCTCGAATCATTTCAAATTGGTTTCTTGAACATGACAATGAGTTCACTGTACTAAAATGGCCCCCACAGTCACCAGATCTCAACCCAATAGAGCATCTTTGGGATGTGGTGGAATGGGAGCTTCGTGCCCTGGATGTGCATCCCACAAATCTCCATCAACTGCAAGATGCTATCCTATCAATATGGGCCAACATTTCTAAAGAATGCTTTCAGCACCTTGTTGAATCAATGCCACGTAGAATTAAGGCAGTTCTGAAGGCGAAAGGGGGTCAAACACAGTATTAGTATGGTGTTTCCTAATAATCCTTTAGGTGAGTGTATATATATATATATATATATATATATATATATATATATATACACTCACCGGCCACTTTATTAGGTACACCTGTCCAACTGCTCGTTAACACTTAATTTCTAAGCAGCCAATCACATGGCGGCAACTCAGTGCATTTAGGCATGTAGACATGGTCAAGACAATCTCCTGCAGTTCAAACCGAGCATCAGTATGGGGAAGAAAGGTGATTTGAGTGACTTTGAACGTGGCATGATTGTTGGTGCCAGAAGGGCTGGTCTGAGTATTTCAGAAACTGCTAATCTACTGGGATTTTCACGCACAACCATCTCTAGGGTTTACAGAGAATGGTCCGAAAAAGAAAAAACATCCAGTGAGCGGCAGTTCTGTGGGCGGAAATGCCTTGTTGATGCCAGAGGTCAGAGGAGAATGGCCAGACTGGTTTGAGCTGATAGAAGGGCAACAGTGACTGAAATAACCACTCGTTGCAACCGAGGTATGCAGCAAAGCATTTGTGAAGCCACAACACGCACAACCTTGAGGCGGATGGGCTACAACAGCAGAAGACTCCACCGGGTACCACTCATCTCCACTACAAATAGGAAAAAGAGGCTACAATTTGCAAGAGCTCACAAAAATTGAACAGTTGAAGACTGGAAAAATGTTGCCTGGTCTGATGAGTCTCGATTTCTGTTGAGACATTCAGATGTTAGAGTCAGAATTTGGCGTAAACAGAATGAGAACATGGAACCATCATGCCTTGTTACCACTGTGCAGGCTGGTGGTGGTGGTGTAATGATGTGGGGGATGTTTTCCTGGCACACTTTAGGCCCCTTAGTGCCAATTGGGCATCTTTTAAATGCCACGGCCTACCTGAGCATTGTTTCTGACCATGTCCATCCCTTTATGGCCACCATGTACCCATCCTCTGATGGCTACTTCCACCATGTCACAAAGCTCTACTCATTTCAAATTGGTTTCTTGAACATGACAATGAGTTCACTGTACTAAAATGGCCTCCACAGTCACCAGATCTCAACCCAATAGAGCATCTTTGGGATGTGGTGGAACGCGAGATTCGCATCATGGATGTGCAGCCGACAAATCTGCGGCAACTGTGTGATGCCATCATGTCAATATGGACCAAACTCCCTGAGGAATGCTTCCAGCACCTTGTTGAATCTATGCCACGAAGAATTGAGGCAGTTCTGAAGGCAAAAGGGGGTCCAACCCGTTACTAGCACGGGGTACCTAATAAAGTGGCCGGTGAGTGTATATATATATTGGTTACAGTTTATTTTAAGGTGTCTTTGTTGCACTGTAATTATACATATAAGTAGTGAGTAGTATTAAGTAACTACATGTACTTACTATAGGGTTAGGATTATGGTTTGGTTTAGGGTTAGATGCATGTAATTATGCATCATTTATAGTTATTACAATAGTAACTACATGTAACAATGACACTTTAAAATAAAGTTTTAGCATATTTATGTTTAAACTGTATAACATGTATACTTTCCAGTACATTCTTAAAAGATTCTGATTTTGAAAATTCTGCAGAACAAAAAAAAAGAAGATATTGTGAAGAATGTTAGTAACCAAACTGTTTTGGTGCCCATTAACTTCCATTGTATGGACAGAAAAAAAAGACATTTATCAAAAATGTTCTTTTATGTTCCACAAAAGAAAGTAAGTCATACAGGTTTGGCAGTGTGAGTAAATAATGACAATTTTAATCAGTCATAAGTCATTTTCTCAATTAATGTGACTCAAATTAGCATCATTAACTTTAACAAGTTTTATTCTTACTGCAATTATTAATAAGATGGTGAAGTCATACAATAATTGTCCTGTCCCGGTGGTTAAATATGTTTATGCCTGCAGGTAATTGCTGATTTAGAAGAAGAGAAACGACGGCGTGCTCAAGACGCTGCTGCGGATGATGACATCACTGCCATGCTAGAGAGGGAACGAGACAGACTATTACAACAGGTAACCAGGCAACGCCAAAAACACATATACACATGCACACACTGTACCATTATAAATACATCTTAAACTGCAAAATAAAAGCAACCATGGCTAACTGTGCCAGCAGATTTTGTGTGTCTCTGTTGTGTAACAGTGTTAGTGCAGGTCTCTGTTCTAAAGAGGAAAGGCTCCATTGTTTTTATGGAGTCTGTCCGCCTATGTGTGTGTGAAGACAATCCATTGTTTGTTTGTGTTTTTATAGGGTTAGGATAAGGTGATGTTATGGTCAAAGTACAGACTGCAGTATTATGTAAAAAGCCCTTCCTGCCCTGCCCTGCCCTGCCCTGCCCTGGGTTTTCTTTACAAACTCACACACTGTCTTTCTCTGGATGCTTGGCCTTGTCTCTCACACATTCTGCAGCTCATAGGGGCCTGAAGTGGTTTAGACACCTGGTCTAAAACAATAGTACTGTATATTTTCAGCTGTCTATAAAGTATAATGTTATTCCTTCTGACTCTACTAGCTTCTTTGAATTTTTAAAGTGACATCTCTTGCTTTTATTCTTCACAGCTGGAGTTTGAGAGGGCTCAAGTCCAGCGTTTAGAACGTGAGCAGTCAGTTCTGTCAAATCAAGCTGAGGAAGATTTAGCACAGCAGCAGCAGTTATCCTCGACACTGGCTAAAGAATGTCAGAAGGCTACAGCACGGGCAGAGGAGGAGAGCCAGCGTGTTGCAGACCTCAGCCGCCAACTGGAACAGGAGAGCAGTGCCATCGAAATCCTAAAGCAAGAGCTCGAAAGCGAACACGCTCGTGCTCAGCAGATAGAGGCGAGAGCTGAGAAAAAGCTGGCTGAATTTGATACAGAGCACGAGCAGATGAGAGGGAAACTACTGAAGGAAGAAAAACGATATCACAAGCTTTTGGAACAGTTCAATAGTCTAAAGAAAGAGTTGGATGAAATTAAAGAAAGAGAAAAGGCCGGGATGGAAAAGGATAATGAAGAAAAGGTAAAAATCCCACAGAAAGATATCACACCTTCAGGTATCATGCCTTCTCTTAGTCAAACAGAAGTCGATGGCAAAACTGTTGCATCTAAATCATCTCCTCAACACAAACAAAATGGTCAACACACTCCAAGAGAACCGGAGTCTCCAGGCGAAGAGAGGTGTAAGGAAGGGGGATTGGCGGACAATGGGGTAATGCTCCCTGGAGCAAGTGGTGCCTTACAGTGTCTCTCCCCCAGCAGTCCTGCCTCATCCTCCCTTAGCTCATCTCCTTGCTCTTCCCCTGTACTGACCAAGCGTCTGGCCTCTCTAGGTTGCTCTAGTCCGACCTATCCCTCTTCTTACCAGGCCAGTATAAACCAACGATTCCAAGCAGCACGCCACAAGTTTCAGCAACAAGCTGAGGTAGACCAGCAACACGGAGGAACTGTTGTCCACTCGCCCCGAGACCTCTCTCCCACTGCCGCCACTCCTCCTCCGCCTCCAGACAATTCTACTGCAAAGCAGATTGCCCGCAACACAGTCACTCAGGTGCTGTCACGGTTCACGAGCCAACAAGTGGCAAGTAAACTCCCTCCGTCCAACAGCTCACCTTTTGGCACTGATTACCGCAACCTGGCTGCGGTCTCCTCACCTACAGGGAAGAGCCCAGGAATTCTCTCACCGGGGATCCGCTCACCGATAATTCCGAGGACGGAAAAGATTCATCCACCTCCTGTTCCTCCCAAAAAGCAGGGGGTCAACCAGTCTCCTAACTCACCGGTTCCTTCTGGCAGGGCCAGCCACTTCCCTGAGCTCACTGGGAGCTGTGGTCTCACCAGTGGTCAGGAAGATGCTAAAGAGCTTGAATTGGTCGTGTCATCATCTAGTTAACCAGCCTAGAGTCCAGAGCCAGTCCTTTGCCTTATCCACTCCCATGGCATCTAAAGCACTCTTCTTTTATTATTTTCACCCTAATTTTCTAGTGTTGTAGTTGTCGATTCTTGTCCTTCAGTACCCCGTTTTGGATGTTTCCTTTATCTGACTCAGTTCTTGGAAACTTTCTTAAATAAGAAAGACATCCAAATTGTTCAGTGCTACGTACAATACTCCAAGATTGAAAACCTTCGGTCTAGTGCAGGGGTAGCCAACCCTGATCCTGGAGAGCAGAATTTTGCTCTAACTTTGATGAAACACACCTGAACCAGCTTAGAATTACTTGAAGATTTAAAGGCAGGTTGAGTTGGAACTGAACTTTTCAGAAAGGAAACAGAAATGTAGATCTCTAGAAGCATGGTTGGCTACCCCCAAAGGGTGTCCAATCCTGTTTTTGGAGGGTCCAACCCTAATTAAACACATGAACCAGTCTTCAGGATTGTGAGAAATGTCCAGGCAGGTGTGTTGAACCATGTTTGAGGTAAACTTTGTATGAAAGTGGTCCTCCAGGAGCAGGATTTAACATTCCTGCTTTATCTACATTAGACTGGTCTCTCAGACGCAGTCCTGTATAAGTGCACTCAGAGGTGATGCCCCATTGAAAAACATTGGTATCCCAGAACAAACCTTATTGTGAGCCTAACCCATCCTGTCAAATTTTGAAAGGTAACTAACGCTCACACACAACTTAACCAACCTGTCAAATTCTACTCCTATAAGATTGAATCTATTTAAATACTATTTTAATCTTTTTATATATATATATATATTATTCTGTTTATTTTTTACAAAAGGATTTTTATTTATCCTAATAAATAATGTTATTTGTTGTAATTAGTCCATTCCTAATGACCTGCACAGATAGAAATGGAAGTATATACAGTAAAAATATGTTATGAAATCAAGCACATGCAATACTGATTGACCAAGTCTTCAACCAATCAGTCAGTCTTTGGCTACTAATCAGAACATTCTCAATCTGTCTTGTGAGTGTGTGATGTTTATATATTGTTTATGGTAAAATGTATAAACTGTTGGTTTTCTGTCGAGCAGTCATATGATAAGATGTGCAGTTACTGTTCTTCAGTCAATGTCGAAATTTACTACTGGAGATACTTTCTAAGGAACTAATATGAAGTGGTCATGAAAAAAACTCTGTCCTACTGTATCGCACCATGACTACATCGTCCTCTAGTGTCAATCTGAAGTGCTGCTCAGGAAGCTGCCATCTGGTGGTGTTAAACATCAGCCAAACCAAATACATTCTCTATAAATGTGGGTTAAAAATGCTTGTTTATATGCCACACATATTCACAGACATGGTTTAAATGATTGTAAACAATATTTAGAATCAAGTCAAAATGTTCTAAGAATGCATTTCTGGGTCTAATAACCATGCCTTGATATATATATTGCTCTATCATGGCTCTTAATATTATGTTTATGCTGGACAGCCTTGCATTTAAAAAATTAATTTTAATTGAATACTTGGTAGAAACCATAGCACCAGTTTACATGATTAACCATGGCAAAAGCACAAATGAGTTAATGTCATAATTTAATGACTTTTTGTCTTACCTGTGTCCTCTTTTGACCTTTATAATGTAACTAGTATGAAAATAGAAATTATTTAATGTTTGTGTAAAAAAATCTTGCTGGCATGAAGGTATTGCTCACATAAATGCAGCATAGAGTCTTAACTTGCTTACGAAAGAACAAAGTATGCTTTTATAAGTAAATGTGATGCATGTTTCTGTCCTTTCTTACATAGATTTCAGCTGTTCTATGGTCATTTACTTTTCTGTTTTTAAATACCTCACCATTTCTCCTACTGTATTGAAACCTTTTCAAGTAGCAGTTTAGATTTTTACTACTGGAATGTTTTTTTTGTTTTACGAAACTGAACCAGAATTTTGTATTTCTACCTGGGACTTGCAAAGACCAGTTTCTGAGTTTTTAGCTATTTGTATGAAAATACTGTTTGATAAATTTAGTTGAATTTTTCCAGATGATTTTTCCAGCTAGTTAGGTGTTGAGTGAATTTATTTCCCTGAGCTAATAAAGAGTTTTTTGAAGTTTACTCTGTTTGTTTATATATACATTGATTACTGTGAATATATATCAACAGGACAACATCACTACAAATAAAAAAAGTGGAATCTGCACAGACTTAAGCTACAGATACAACAGTTGATTTACAAAATAAAAGGTTCAGCAGTAACCATTTAGTCATTATGGTTGCCATTTACTGTGAGTAGACATTACTTTTGCATGATTTAAAATCTGAAAAAAATTAAGGTTACGCGAGACAGAGATATGCCAGTCTTACATGATGCGTGTATATTACAGAGGATCTTTGATGGAACAATAAAGACAAACAAGACTAAAGTCAATGTGAAAGCAGTGTGGCAGAAACATGCAACGGAGCTCAGTCAGTACTCATGCTGACAGAGAGACTCAGATTTACTGTGTGGGTTTTGGATTTGTCGCAGACTGTGGATACCCTAAATGCATCACAAGTACCTTTAACAGACAGTCTGAACCACTATATCTGAAAACAATTCAACTGGTGTGTAAATATAAACATCAAGACTTAATTTGGATGTCTTTGCCACAAAAGAGGGTTATCCATGGATTTATTTATTTAGTCTTTTTTGGTTATTAAACCATTTTAGTTTAGCAGACTGTGAGTCACTGTTAGAGAAAGATACGGAGAAAGCAGTTAAGACAGATGGCCATTCCAAACCCAGACACACAACCCGTTCCCCTCCTCTCCCAACATCATCATTTTCCCTGTTACAGCCTGGATAGTTGAGGACGGGACAGCAGGAAATCTCATCTCTCCAGGTTGTCAGTAGGCAGAGGAAGGAAGGGGGGGTTGTCGCCTGACTGGGGTTTGGAAATACAGTGAGTGAGGCATAATTTATCCACTGTTTTAAAACACAAAACCGTTTGCACATGTATTGCAGCTGTAACAGTTCACAAAAAAAAAAGAAGTCAAAACAATACAAACTCTTTGAGTGACTTGCGAGCGGGTAAATGAGAGAAAAGCAATAACTGCCGATAATTTAGATCCACGATTCCCTCAAGTTCTCATTTAAACCTCTTCCACAGCTGAGACCCATCGAAGTCCATTAATGACAGAAAGTTGAATGAAATTACATCCTCTTTTAAACAGTTTTTTTTTTTTTTTTTAATTTTCATTTTTGGGAGACTTCTTCACACTGAGCGAACGGCATGTGGTGTTCTGAGAGCCGGCTTTGCAATTTAACAGAAGGAAAGGGAACCGGGGTGGTTCTAAGCGTTTTGCATCTCTTTGCCGATCTTGTAGCTGAGGATCTTGTTCCAGTCGATCTTGGTGCGAGTGACCGGCAGCTGTCTGCGGAGAGCTTTGAAGGTGGTGTCCGACATTGTCTGGTAGTTCTCACTGATAGCCGTCTGGAGGAAAGCATTTATTAGGGATGTGAAGTCATAAAAAAATTACATGTACACATGTTGATCAGATCAAATTCTCACCTGGTAATCATTTTCAGCGTTTTCAATGATTTTTACAAATTCCTTGGCAGTCTGGGATTCATTCTAGAGATAAAAAGGCAGGAATTTACTTTGAAATCTTACACATTAACCAAACATAAACTTGTTTTTTTTTTTACTTACAGTCACTGCAATGGACTCCTCCACTTCCTTATGGCTCACCAGTTGAACATTACCATCCTCGTAATAATGCACCTGTAGGAAACCAAATTATTTATCAAAAACTCTTCACCGTCAAACTTTCTTCGCATCCCCACTATTCTAGTCTGTCAGGTCTCACCTGGATCTTCAAAACTCCCACCACCTGAGCTGATGACTGACTAATGGTGAACTTCCACTCTGACCTGCACCGGCCATTCCTGACAAGAGAATAACAAGATGATAAGATCATCAGAGAATCGAGGTACAATCAGACCATTATAGCTTTTGAAGCTATTATTTCCCAAAAGTGACTGATGGCTGTACAGTAAAGACACTTATGTTAAAAAAGTATTCCATTTCAAATAAAGGCTGTTCTTTTGAACTTTTTATTTATTAAAGAATCTTTGGGGGAAAGTATAACATTTCCACATAACTTTAAGCAGTACCACTTTTCAGCATTGCTACTGAAAATTGCCATCACATGAATAAATTCAATTTTAAAATATATCAAAAGATTTTTAAATTCTAATAATATTTCACAATATTACTGTTTACAGTATTTTTAATCAACTAAATTCAGCATTGGTAAGCAGAAGAGACTTCTTTCAAAACCTTTTTTTTTCTGACTCCAAACTTTTGAATGTTAGGTGTAAATACATTAATAAATAAAAATACATGAAATACTGATAAGAGTTTAAATTAATTTATTATGCGAGATGAAAGAGACTGTAAAGTAACATTAAACAGTTATGTATGAAATCAGTTGTCACATTATATGACAATATTTAAATGCTTTGATTGAACAATAAGAATTAGGTATTCCAGAAAGTCACCTATAAGAAGATAAATCCCTGAACATTACTCACCAAAAGTTTTTGGGCTCAAACTTATGACCCTCAATACAAGCAATGATTGTTTGCTGACCATCAACAGTTTTCCCATACACCTGCAGCAGAAACATTAGAACATGTGTCCAAAGGAGCATGATTTCACAAAAAATGGCTGCAATGCATAAATGTATATGTTACAGAAATCATATTATTTTGTTGAGATTCCCATGGGAAACATGTGTACCGTGCAAACTCCACTGGGATAGTGCTCCTTCACGTAAGCACTGAGCACTTCATCACAGGCGTCTCTCCAGGACCGGAGGCCGGTCTCTCCCTCGTAAGACTGAGGATCGCTCGCTTCCTTTCGGAGGTGATCGAAACGGAATGAAACCCGCTTCCGTGGGTCGAAGAACCGTCCCTGACCCAGATCTCCATGCTCGGTGATCAGAACCTGCAGGAACAGGATGTGCCTTGCTCTTCAGACAGAACTAATCACACACAGAGCTCTACAGCCACTCTCACGCAGCAGCAAACACTCACAGTACAATGACCACACCTGCCCAAATCACACATACAAAGTACACACAGATCTCCAGAGAGCAGAGTTTACACCCAGCTTGAATAAATAATGTGTCAACAGTGTGCTCTCAATTCAAAACTAACACAGAGTCTTAGGGCAGCACAGGAACCAAACGTACATGCACATTTACAAAACCTAAACTGAATCTGAGAGTTTGAACTGCAATCAAATCATGAACCTACCGACTCCTCACTACCGTCCAGTTTGACAGGTGTGAACTGATCCATATTATACTGAGCAAAGGCACTGTGAAACAGAGAAAGAGACAATGCAGCATGAATCCTCTTTATAATCACAAACTTTAAACACACAGATGCATCTGGACATACAATGGCAAAAGTATGTGAACCCATTGAAATGAACTGTTTTTCTGCAGTAATTTGCCATAAAATGTGATCTGATCCTCATCTAAGTCACAACAATAGACAAACACAAAGTGCTTAAGCTGATAACACACAAACAATTTTAATTTCTCGCGTCTTTATTGAACACACCCATTAAACATTCACAGTGCTGGAAGAAAAAGTGATTCCATAGACTAATTACTTCAACAAAAGCTAATTGGAGTCAGTAGTTTGCACACCTGGAGACCAATTAATGAAATGAGTTTGAAGGTGTAGTGTAGAGCTACTTTGATTGACAAAAGACACTCAAAGCAATCGCAAAGTGTTTATGCATCCATCAGTCGTTTGCCAAAATATCCTACAGGATAATTTCAGGGTGGCTTCATTGTTTTTGTTTTATCATCTTAAGCTCATTGTGTTTGTCTATTGTTCTAACTTAGATGAGGACCAGATACCAATTTATGGCAAATTACTGCAAAAAACAGTTCATTCCAAGAGGTCCGCATACTTTTTCTTGCCACTATAACATGAGACACACAGATCTGCAAAATAACTTACTGTGCTGCCCCTTCCCGAAGGAGGTTGTCATTGTTGAGGAGAAGTCGCACATCTACAAAAACAAAAAGATAAAAAATCAAGCAAAAACCTGGTGTAATATAAAGCTGTTTTGAGATGGTCTCGATGAGCGAGATGAGGAACAGCCAACTAAACTGCAAGAGAGCAATGCGTTGTGAAGTGGGAGCAAAAAGAAATAAACAGCTTCTGATGTCTCCCCAAGCACCATCGCATATATATATTTTTCAACTCTTTTTACCCATTCTGTGCAAATCAGTAAAAATGATCATAAGACTTTCCCCCCATGTTGTTTGATGATGTCAAGAATCAAATCTGTTATTGCTACTAGCTCAAGTTTGAGGGAGATATGCTGGGATTGTAGCTTCAGTTGGAGATAACAATCTTGTAAATCACGCACACGGTCTGCTGTCAGGCTTGTAGTATAGTGTGTACAGTATAAAAACAGTACTAACGTTTAAAAGTTTGGGGTCAGTATGATTTTTTTTAATTCTTTTTGAAAGTAGTCTCTTATACAAGGCTGCATTTATTTGATCAAAAATACAGTACAATATTTTGACAAAATACAGTACTATTTTAATATATTTTTAAATGTTGTTTATTCCTGTGATGTAAAAG